GCGGTGGGGGGGGGGGGGGGGGGCAGTCTGGGCCCAGACTTGGGTGCTGTCTGGAGGTGGGGCAGGGCCTGGCTTCTTACAAGAAGGCGCCCATGCTGGCCCAGTCATGCAGGTCAGAGGCCAGGGTGGCATCCCCGGCCTCAAAGAGGGGCTCGGGGGGCAGGCAGCTACTGCTGCTCTCGTCCCAGGGGTGCTGCAGGAAGGATGTGGCCAGGAAGGTCTCGTCGAAGTCCAGGCTGTTGGCAGCCTGCTCCACCGGAGGCCCCCAGGTAACAGGGCAGTCGATGTGGTGGCCGTGGACGGTGAGGTCCACGTCCCCGTGCAAGGCGGGGCTCAGTGGTGGGCTCAGCTCCAAGGCCTCCAGCGTGCCCAGCTCCCCGCCCAGCGTGCCGGCGTCAAAGATGGCCTCCCAGTCAAAGTTGCCCTTGAGGGGTTCCAGCTCGCCCTGCTCCTCCTGGGTCAGCAGCAGGGAGCTGGAGGGCCGCGGGACCTTGGCCACCCGCTTGGGCAGCGGCTGTTTACGCTTATGCCCCGGCCTGCCCTCGCCCACACCCCAGCCCACCTCCCCGGTGGCCTCCTCGAACTCCCGCAGCAGCTGCTGGGCCTCGGTGTTCACGGTCAGTGGCCTGGCCCACAGGGCGGTGCTGGGCTCCGGCGCGGCCTGGCGGGCAAAGGCCGGGTGGATTTGGACTGGGGGCAGCCGCCGCTTCTTGAAGGCCCCACTCAGCAGCCGCTCGGCGTACTGGGGCTCAATGCGCCAGAAGCCCCCCTTGCCTGGCTCGCCCTTCTCCCGAGGCACCTTGATGAAGCATTTGTTCAGGGACAGGTTGTGGCGGATGGAGTTCTGGACACACAGGGCGACAGGAGACAAGGAAGACAGCTGGGTGAGTGGGTGGGGCCAGTGATGGGGGCGTTCCTAGCGCCACTGCCAGTCCCGCCACCACCTTCTCTCCGATGGGGGCAGGCGCTGCTCCGACCCGGGAGGCTCTGGGACACCAGCCACGGGGCACCGGGAGCTGGGAATGCTGTCGGGGGCTTTTGTTCCCTGTTGCCAGGATATCTGCCTGCTCAGTCATCCGAGCCCTGAGCCGCAGGGTGGCTCTCAGTGCCACCCTGTCCTGCCCTCCCTCCCTCACCCCGCTGCTTGCGGCCTCTGGCCAAAGGCCTTGGCTCCCCCAGGGCCTGGACAGCCATCTCCCTCTGCCTGGGCCTGGCTGGCCTTCTCTGTTAGTGAAATGAGTGAGTGGGTGTGAGGGTGTGTGTGTGTGGTGGGGGGATGAAGTGTGGGAGGATCTGATGACTTTCCTTGTTTGTAGAGCCGGCTGCTGGCCTGGGCCCTCACCCTCCATGTCCCCCTCCTCCCACCCCAGGCTCTGAGGCCTCAGTTGATTATTACCCAGCCAAGAGCATAGCGCTCATTCCTGGGGCCTCTCATGCTTGGGGTAGGGTGGGGGTGGTGGAGGGTCTCTGCTTTCTCGCCAAGGTCACAAATGGCACCTGCCCCAGGGTCAGGGCCCAAACAAACGTGGAAGAGCTGTGACCACAGGAACTGTGACCCTGTGACCTGTGCCACAGGGAAGGACCTGTGCATCCTCAGGGTCTCTGTCCCCAAGTAGCCCCTGATTCTGATGGTCAAAGATGCTCAGGGCAGTGTGTGCCCAGCCTTGAATCACCATCCTGTTCATGCCTGGGTGCACAGCCCAAACCACACTGGGGCACAGGGGTCCGGGGCCTGGTTGGTGGGGCCGGTAGGTGAGTAGTGCCCCCTGGCAAGACTGGGATGTTTACACGGTGGCCTGGACCCCCTGGCTGCTCTGTGCCAGGTTCCGGAGACTTGGAACATGAAGCCAGTGTGGGAGGCAGGAGCCCCTGTGGAAAGCACCTGGCTGAGGTTATTGTCCCCCCAGGGAGGTTGATGAGAAGCGGGGGAGGAGTGTAGGCAGGAAACTAGGGAGGGGTTGGGGTGGGGGCTGGCACAGCAGCTTTAGGAAGGCCCCGTAGCCCTTCCACTGGGACACAGCTGGCCTTCACACCCCACAGCACGCCCCTCTCCCCTCCCAGACCCCCTCCAGCCAACTGAAAGCAGGCAGGATGCAGAGCCTGGCGGGAATGATGCTCTGCTTCCAGTCAGGCCCTGACAAACTGACGTTGAGTAGGGTAGTGTCTAGGAATTCTAGGACTTGGGACAAAAATGTGTCCCTCAGTCCATCAACCTACCCTGGGGGGCTGTGTCCACGCATAGTTCAGCCCTGGTCTTTGGGCTGAGCCTGCTGGATGAGTGACAAGTTCTTTCCACTTGAACCTCTATGTCAGCACCCCTAAAGCCCTCTGAACATCCTCCCTCCTCCCTCTCTGAAGTCAAAGGGGCAGCAGTCCAAGCACTGGGCTCCCTTGAGGTCCTTCCTCGACAGCCTTCCTTCTCTCGGGGCCCTGGCCGTACGGGGCCTACTTGGCCTGCGGATCTGGGATGTGAGTCCAGTCCGCGCCGGCATGGGGAGGGAGGGAGGGCCTCCCCTACCTGCCAGGTGGGATCAGCGTGGCGGAAGTAGCAGAAGTTGTCCGTGATCCACTTGTAGATGGCCGACAGGGTGATCTTGGTGGCCTTGCTGGCCTGCATGGCCATGCAGATGAGCGTGGCATACGAGTAGGGTGGCTTCACATTCGGGTTGGTGGCATAGTCCACGTCGTCGGGAGGCGGGGCCTGCAGCCCCGAGGGGGTGCTCCGCGACGTGCACGAGGACGTGGGCTTGCCGGGAGTGTGCGGCTGCCCCAGGCAGGCGGGGTCGGCCGCCAGGGGAGACCCCGGCGCGGCCGAGCCTGGCACCTGGTGGTAGCCGTGGGGGTCTGGGTCCCCCGAAGGCAGGGCGGGGGCCTTGGCGTTGAGAATAGAGAATTCCTGCAGCCACTGCAGGCTGGTCAGGCTGTCATCCAGGGCGTCGGACTCCTCCAGGCCGCCTTCCGGTCCGGCCTCCTCCGCTGCCGCTGCTCCCGAGACGCGTAGCCAGCTCTCCGCCATATCTGCGGGGACTCTCCGAGGGGGCGGTCAACATCCACGAGCCGAGCCGAGGGTGGCCGCCGAGCTCTCCAGCCCGCTGGCTCCCGCGGCTTCAGTTACACAGCCTCCCGGAAGCGTGCTTCCATCCCGCGATGCGGGGGTAGCCTCCGCCGAACTGAATGTGGTGCCTGCGGGGACCATAGCGGGAACTGAGCCCTCTTTCCCCACTCCCGAGGGGAGACTGTGTGCGAGGAGGGGGAGGCTCTTACTAAAATCGTTCCTGCACCTGGGGAGGATCTTTTACTGCTGAGGTCTGGGAAACAGAAGCTGTGCCCCGGGGGTCGACCCACACGGGGGTTCGCCTCGCTCTTTTCCTCTTCGATCTTTTAGAGGAGACTTAATTAGCCAAACGAGGGAATAGTGTAGGGGCATGCGAGGCCACCCCCTTCTCCCTCAAAGCGGGAAATTAACCCCCCTCTCTCCCTCCACAACAAATGGAAATGGGGCGAGAGAGTCCAGGAGGGTAGTACGACGGGGCAGGGGGCGGGGGAGGTCGTCTGATCTTTGAAAAGGGATAATAGGATGGGGATCAAGGGAAAGGAAGGAAACAAAACAGAGAGGTATAAGCGGGCGGGAAGTGAGTGTCCCCCAAACTCCTCTGATGTCAGTCCCCGGGCCCACCACTTCCGTCGGGGACGGATGGGAGAGCGGGTTGGTACCGACGCCCTCCCTTCCCACGGCCTGCAGCCCTCACCGTCCCTTACCTGGCTCAGAGCGCAGCCCGGGCCAAAGGAAGGTTCTCGAAGAAATTCCTCCCACCGCCCACCCCCACCGCGGCTCTCTGCCCCCAGCTCGAGGGCCCAGCCAGTAACCCTAGTCGCCCCCAACGCCCGACGGCGCCTCTCTGAACGCCAGCGGCCCGGGGACCGGCATTAAGTAGCCGCTCGGAAGGCTTCTCCTGCTGCCATGGCGACGCCCCGCCCACATAAACAGCTTCCGCTTCTGCCATTGGTCAGGGTGTCTCCAAGGAGACCGCGGGCTCTTACCACTCTCTCAGGCGGTAACTCTCTTCGAACTCCCTCCTGGCCGCTCTCTCCCGCGCCACCCAGCCCCCTACCCGCCACCGCGTCCCGGCCCCACGCATTCCCGCCCGAGGGCCCCGCGCAGGGCTCGGAGAGGCGCGCGGCTCGGGGCTCCCGCAGAGGCCGCGGGAACAGTACTCCGCCCCACCCACTTCCCATCTGGGCTGCTCAGAGGTGTCGACGGCTCCTGGGACGCAGCCTGTGGCGCGGGGCCCAAGGCTGGGTGTATGCTTGGGGGTTTCCTTTCCTCTCCTCTGGGCTGCAAGTGGCACTTCCTCACGTTTCTGCGGCCTGTCCCTGTCTCCCGACCGAGTGTCGTCTTGGTGCCCGCAAGCAGGTCTGACTCTCCGATGCCACCTGCCGCTCAGGTCCGCAGAAACCGCAGCCCCGGTCGCAGACACCCCAAGATGGCTAGGGTAATCCAATGTTTCCCGGTAAGCGCTCCCTCCCCGCCCGGGCCTCAGCAAGATTCCCAGAAGCTGACCTTCCAGAGGCTTCTTCGGAAGTGCTCTCCCTCCTTTCCAGATAGCCGAGGAAGCAGAGCCGGTGGGTGAAACCCAGAAAAGCCGTGGACTTGCCAAATTCTCTTACTGGGGTCATTTGCCCCATTAATTTCACCAACCTTCAAGTGACGGACTAACGGTGGACCGTGGTCCTTCCTCTTCCCTTCCCCCGGCCTCCCTCCAGTCACCAGCTTTCCTGCTCTTCAATTATTGAGGAGCTCAGCTGGAAGTTCTCCGGTTGAAGGGGGTGGGGGTGTGGGGGTGGGGGTGAGGGCTCCTTATCAGGCCTCTGTGCGGGAGCTGTGCCCGGGGGACGGTACACCAACTCCCACCCAGAGACATGTCTTTCCCTCCCCCTTGCCGCCTCTCACTCCTCCACG